CATATCAACTCACATTCAAACCTTCTATTCTCATCACGAGGGCATCCCACTCGACTTGATACACAGAAGAACATTTTATCGCTCCTTTTTAAGATTGAAGTGTCGTTTTACGATCGTGGTATCGAGCATTCACGCGGTGTCTGATCAGTCTATCTGTCCTAAGATCAATGTCAGACTCCTTCATTCGAGAATCTTCGCAAAAGAATTGACATCTATCGTCTCTCTCGAGCTTCAGTCATTCTCGACAGTCGGGATAGTGAGACGCATCAGACTCTCCATACTTCATGGGGTCGATCGGCAACATGAACATGGCTCCTAAACGCCACTCCCGGTCCTCATGGACTAAGTACTAACACACATCTGCTAATCTTATTGACAGTGGTTCTAGTTCTCCAAGTAATTCCACACACTAGGGACTTACCCGGTTCCTAAACCCTTCTCTTTCAAGATGTCTTACGAGTGGTCATCTCTCGAAGAAACTGAACATAACTTTATAGTGAGAAAACCGCTATAGACAGAACTTGACTCGATAACACCATACTGAAAACTCACAACAAGGAGCTTCTAAAGTCATAACTTAACTCTATACCACTAGAGTTCAAGTCCATATTTACGGAGGGTAAATTCCTAAGCCCCAAAACTTTATAACACATCAAATCAAATCATAAGTAATCTCATTGTTACTTATGCAAAACATACAGTTCACATCATAAGTAATTTCATTGTTATTTATGTAAAACTTACCTTGAGCGGTGCGGCATGACGAAGACGAGTGGTCGTACACAAGGTCAGATAAACATTTAATCACATAATTCACATAGAGCAGTCTACAGAAACGTAGACCTTGCTCTGATACCACAACTGTAACGCCCCACTTTGATTTTAAAGAAATTCCAGACTTTCCAAAATCAAGATAACATTCGAAATTCATTTCGAAATCACATTAACATGGGCATTATCTAACATTTCATCACATAGTTCAAGTCTTATCTGAACTCACGAGGTTTCATTACCCGGTTTTTACATGGATTTCATCATCCCAAAGCAAACATTCAACATGATATTCAGCATAACACATCAACATGAATAACTAATTTCAACTTGTTCCCAAAGGAACGAACCCACTCATCCGGTTCAGAAACCAATCCACTTTTTAACTTTTTCAAAACCTAAGTTTGGAAGAGAACCAACATATCTTTAAAAACCAAAGAAACAGGTTTATAATACCGATATTCAAATAACCACATCAACATGAATATGTAATTTAACATGTTTCAAAAGGAAACGAACCGACTCATAGATTCTAAAACCGTTCCATAATCCCAACATTTTTAAAACATCATAAGTTTAAAAGCAATTCAACAAGTCTGAAAAACCACTGCAAACATGTTCACAATATCAGACCAATATGTTCATAGAACAAAGCGGAAGCAATTATGCATAAGTAAAGGACCAGCCACTCTTCCTCTCGTCGTCACGCCTGCCACCTAATCAACCTGCATCTGGGGGGGGGGAGAGACATGAGGGTGAGCACATACCACTTTGTTCACCGCTATGCACATAAACTACATATACAATGACAGAAGGTTATGGTCGCAGCATGAACATAAATCAATCAATCATGTCACATCTCCTATTCACATAATAACCTTACTCATGTGTACACATCTTTCATTAGCCACGGAATGGGGATTCATTACCCAAACGATGGGAGTACATGCCTCACAAGGGCACGGCCTTTCATTAGGGCTTAAGGAGATTGCCTCACAAGGACACCGTATTACATCGACGGGGACAACCGTACCAACGGCCGAAACAGCATACATCGATAGGCTACATGGTTCACATGCATACATTTATCATACCAACCCAACAAGACATAAACAATTTACGGCATAGAAATTCATAAAATCAACCCACCTGGATACCGAAGTAGCAAAATCACACAAGGCAGGAACTTAGGTCGAGGGCTCAGCTCGTCGAACCTACATTAATCAAGATAGTCCTATCAACAACTATCCCGACACTTAAAAACATATACAACAACATTAACTTAGCCGAAACATCATCGACTAAGTGATTCGTTGAATTCCTAGTGGAATTTGGAACATTTGGTTTAACCGTCTAGACTCGATAAACCAAATAAATATCATCTAGAACACATTCAGAATGAAAAACATAGTGACGGGTCAATAGGAAGTCAAACAAGTCAAAAAATAGCCAAAACAGGGCCTAGTTGGAAGCTGTCGGGGGTGCTGGCCCAGGACTGGGTGCTGGCAGTGCTGGAAAACAGGCTAGAAAAATTATCTACCGGATCATTTTAAAATGCACTCGAGCATTTTCAACGAAATTTTTACACAACATAATACACGCAAAAATACACAAGTACACTAGAGATTGACCTTTAGAAACCATTTTAACCTGGAGAAATAATTTTTGCAAAAAATAACAGCCATTAAGAGAATTCTTAGTTCACCAGGCAAACATTCGAATTTTAAAGTGAAATTTTGACACAATGAGCATGAAGACAAAATAAAACCATTCCCAGAAATTCAACTCAAAACTCCTAAAACTCGATTTTATATCAATTTGTCAAGAAACTGGCCAGAACTTCAAATCACCAAACACATAGCTACAGGTCAAATTTTAACTTGCAATTTTTACACCATAGACCTCATCAACAGAGGGCCAAACATATCAAAAATTCGCATCAAAATCATCAGTTTATCATGATTTTTGCAAAGTTCAGCAGCACGTAGGATTTCAAAAATCCATATCTTATATCACAATCATCAAAATGACATAAGGCTTTCACTAACATGTCGAGGACATATCAATGTACTCAAAACTCCAAGGTTTCCACGAAATTCAACCATGTCATCCAGTTTTGACATCAAACCGAAGAGACGAACAGTAAATGACATTAATTCGTATGCACATATTATTCCAACCCATATAATTCCACCAAAACAACATCATATACACACATGTACATCATCATAAAACACATAAACAAGGGGGTTTTAGCCATCAAGTACCGTTCTCAAGGATTACACACGAAAAGAACGAAAGAGGGGCCGAGCGGAGGTCGTTGGCGTGCGTACACGGGCGAGGCGGCGTTCCTCGACTCGCGCTGGCCTCGGTCACTCTCGGTGGTCTCGAACGGGATCCTTTCTGGCCGTCCTTGTTCGAGTGTGGGGGTTGAACGCTGGCATGGACTCCTTGCAAGCAGGGGAAACGGGGCACGCCTGGATGCAACGCGGTTGTGGCGGAGGCGTGGTGATCGCAAGGTGAATTTTGATGGTGGTGCACGAGGAAGGTGTGATCGGGTACGAGGGAGAGAGTGAGAAGAGTTTGAGAGAGAGCGGCGCAAAAGAAATAAGGAGAAGAGAGGTGAACCTATTATTTATAAGCCTAGGTTACCCATTACTTGCCAAACAAGAAAGGAAAAAGAGAGAGCCGGGCTTGGGCTCGGACGCGGTGCCTGCGGGTTGGAAATCCTTAGGGCTCGACTAATCGATTTACGAAGCTCGGTTCAATCGTACAGCGATCGGGACTTAAAATAATCCGGAAACATATATATATATATATATATATATATATATTTCACACAATATATATAATCAAGCAATATTATCAATTAGGCAATTAATCCAATCAAAATAATAATGCCAATAAAATAATATCCGAAAAATCCAATAATCATATTGGGCATCACACCACTCATCCCAGAAGCTAATTTCCCCCTCATCCAAAATCCAAAATATGTGCTTCTGAGCACTTCTACCAACCATGGTGAACCGCCTGCACTTTCTGCTATTGCGGTTGGTGGCCGTCACCCTACATGGGTGGAAAGTGCCTCCAGGACAGTATTTCTGACGAAGATACTAAGCCCAAAGTGACTTACCCTCCCTAAAGCGCCACCACATCTTATAAGAGAATGTAGTGACGACATCCGAAAAGCGTAGGATCCCCAGTCCCACATCACCCATCGGACATGTCTCCCTATCCGGGAGCCCTCCCCATGCCCCCAAACATAACGAGTTAAGATTAATCTAGTTCGTGAATCGTAGACTGGTGGGGGTAGAGGACCATAAGGAGGTGAAGCGGAAGGGCGCTGAGGGTTCAATTGATCAGATCAAGTCGACCCCCAAAAGAGAGGTGTCTGTGAGACTAGCCGAAGATCTGGTCAATCATTCTATCTCTGAAGTTTGTAAAGAGTTAATACGAGAGATGACCCTTGCATAGGGGGGCTCCAAGATAGGTGATGGGGAGGTCCCCACGCGCAAAACAAGTGCGCTCGTGGACCCAATGAGCCCACTGGTCCGCAATGTGATGATCAAGTGTGAAGGTGTTTTTTTTCGCACTAAAAAGATGATCGAAATCGAGTTATAGTGCCCCAGGAGGCGCATGAGCTCGGCCAGTCCATTATTATCCACATGAGTAAAGGTAATAATGCCATCCGCATAAGAAATATACGAGATGGAAAGACCATAACCACGCGTGCTATATATCATCCTCGAGAAATCACGAGTGAAGCCGTCAAGGCAACGAGACAAGTAACCCGCCGCCAAATCAAAAAAGATAGGATTATGAATAACTTTGTCAAAGGCATAATATCTTTGAACGAGAAGAGGAAGAGACGATGAATTCCTGTCCACATTGATTGATCGATGAACTCTTTCATAAGAATTTATTAAAGAGAAAATTAATGATAAAAAACAAAGATGTGATTCCGCATAGGGAAGTGAATTGAGCGCGATTATTGTACTTCTTCTAGCAAAGAGTATTGCTCTGTTTTGTTTTTTATTTTGTATTATTTTTTGTTCCTAGCTAAACAAATATTTATTTCAGAGGAGAACGTGGCAGCCTTGAAACTAATTAGAAAATGAACGGATGTGATTAAGCTAAATTATCAACTGAGGACAACTTTTAACTGCAGGGAATCCATATCCCATGAAGATTACACGATGAATAGCGTAAAATGTGAAGGTATAAATCTAGAGGACTTCCTTCATTAGTCTTCTTGTGAGATCTTTTGGAAGTCCCATCACACTATCGGTTCCACCCACCTGCCCAAAGCATAACAATTTTTTGTCATTAGCAATTTACCAAAACAAAACTTCATCATCATCATCACATCAACATACCCAGTATATTCTCAACGGGTTGGGGTCTGGGGAGTCAGTTATACGCAGACCTTACCCTTGTAATTATACAAGGAGGCTGTTTCCATAGCGACCCAAGGTGCGTTGCGTCGTTTGATATATTTTTTTCTATAAACTTCACTAATAGAAGAAGCACTGGAATTTAATTGAGCCATTTTGATCTAGTCCATTAATAAAAAGAATAAAAAAATAAATTAAGATCCAAAACTTTTAAGAGGAAAATGCTAAGGTCCGTTATGGGATGGTGCCGTCAGTGTTAAGAAAAAAAATAAAAAATAAAAATCGACAAAACTTTCGGATACTGACCACATTTTTGACATATGGCAAAACCAGAGGATGTTCGATGATTAGCCCTCCCGCTACATTCAGAACATGGCCTTCTTGAATCTGGATTAAGAAAAAATGGAGTCAGGAATATATGCATGCTGACAAGGCAACATGAGAAAGAACAAAATATATACATACCAGATGATCTATCACATTTTCAGGTATTTCGCTGAAATGAATCTGCAACAAACACCTAAAATGAGTCTGTTGGCTGCTATATAAAAGGAGACCAAAATAAATGGCGAAAAGGAAAAGGCGAAATGTATAATTGAATGTAAGTAAAGAAAGAAAAGTGCTATATCTATGGGTTTGGAGCATTATTTCATATAAAAGGGTTATGGTTACACATGAATCGACCGTCAAACTATACCTATTCTTGTATCAGGCGAGAAGCAATTTTCCGAAAGATTATTCCATGTATGACTTAAAGTATCGAAATTAATTTCAATTATTTAGCACGAGGAGTAGTTTAATAAGTGAATACACATTTGAACAATGTGCATATAAATTTGTGAGAACAAGATATGGTTCTTAGATGGAATAAAGCCAACCATCACGGATATTTTATGCGAACTGCCTTAAAACTGAAAGAACTCTCGATCACTTTCAGAATAAGTAACCAAAATTTTGTTTTATTGCACGGGTACCTCAACTTTGTCCCACTCCCCTTTTCTCAATCCAGTGTTAAGGTTTGTAACAAGAACAGAGCTAATGGTCGCAGCAAATCCACCAGAGTAATCTATAATACGAACGTGTAAGACCATAAGGATGTGAAATTTCTATACAAGATTAGTTTGGAGATATAAATAGAAACCTTTTATGAATTGACGTGCCTCTTCTTTGCTGGAAGGTTTTTCCCTTATCGCACCTTCATACACCACCACCTCCAAAACATATATATTCAATCGAGTGAGAACAAAAGAAGTATTCAACAATGATATATTATTAAAAATAATAAATTAAAATAAAAGACAACATTTTAATTAACAAGGAAATTTAAATATTTGAAACTAGTGAAACACTTTTACTTCAGTGGTGAATATGATTGAATACATGTTTCACCCTCCAGCAAAGCTTTCTCACTAAATTCTTAACGTACATGAGCCAAATATTGACAAAGAGACTCTTTTCAACATTATATATATATATATATATATATATATATATATATATATTGTGACATGTGTTTATGCGAGATTGTGAGTGAGGATGTGTGTGTATCAAAAAACTTGATGCTCAATTTAGAGATGATCGATAATAGCTCATTAGGACTCTGTTAACTAACAAACCAACCAAGCCCAAGTGCTCTAGCTCATTCAATAATCAATAAAAGCCAGCTTCGGCTCGGCTCTGTTCAGATGAAAATTCAGATTGCTAAACATCCCACACATGAAATGAACCAGAATAAATTATTGGAAAGTAAACCCCAGAATAAATTATACAAACACGATTCTCGTCTTAAATAATGGTGCTGGCTCAAGATGCAAAAAAATTGAACTGGTATTAAGTGGTTTCACATAACCCAGAATGTGAAGGTATTTAATGAGAATTTCGTTCAACTCCAAAACTAGTAACACCTAATCAAGACCAAAATGGAATTCACTTTGAGAACATGCATTAAAACATATGAAAAGCATGCCGAGAAAGTAGGATAATTATAATAAGGGAATAACTTATACTTGGTCACAAGTAATAAGCAGGGTGGGTTCTGCATCCATTTTGCCCTGAAGCTTTGGTTGGACATTTTCTACCTAAATAGATATAGTTAAGTAAGCAAATACACTCGCACAAAATTGTGTAAAATTAGTGGATCAAAATACACGTCCCGTTCCATAATTGTAGTACATAAATTTAAGGAGGTTTTGAATATAAAATAACAAAAGAAAGGAAACTTACAGTATCAGCTGCTATTACAAGTGTAGGCTTCGTATCCTTCTCTTGGTTTCCAGTATTCCGGAGTTTTCCAACTATGGCATCTGCCTGATACACGATGATGGAATCGTCATATGGAGCCAATACGCAACATACCAAAATATTGAAAAATGTTGAAAAATTAAATTATGAAATTTCCACAAACAGATAAACAACTGCCCTCCAATAATCGAACTAGTACATGAATTTGCAATCAAATTTATGACCCCAAATCGAGGCCCAAAATGTAGTTCTATGCACTTAGCACTGGTTGCACAACATTTTGACTAGCTCCAATTCCAATGGGGGCTTCAGATTTGGTATTCTGTTTTTATTTCAAATTTTAAAGTACTTGTTAAACAAACTACTCACAGCAAACACTCTCCCTCATTAATCGATTCACAGCTTCCATTCGTAAACACTAGCACCAGTGCAGAAGTGATTGCAAACAACACTTTAAGCCTTTTCAAAACTGCCCCTTTTTTGCACCTTACAATGGCATTATCGTACTAAATCTTTGCACCCTACAGTGGCGTAATCATGCTTAAAACAGTACCTTAGCCTCAGCAAGAGTCATAACCAAATCTTCAGGCTTTTCCTTCCGAATGGCCTTTTCATCTATATCTGCAGACTGTATATGCAAAAGTTGCAATAAAAAAACAAGAAATAACTAAAAAAGTTTCAAATCACAACCCTTTACAACTTCAGAAAAGAAGGAACTCGAATTTACCATGGTCGTGAATTCAAAACCCATGTCGGCTAAAATCTTTCTGCGGGCAACTGAAGATGAACCCAAAATTACCTGCAGTGAAAGAACGAAATTTGTGCAAAACTATTTCTCAATCCACGCATCAGTTTTGAAGTAGAACGAAAAACTATGGCATGATCGAAATCACCTCACCTTGAAGTCTTGATGGGGGTTGGAATCCATCTTCTCAAGAAGCTCTGAAAAAATTACAGTACACTGAAATAGGGTATTACGAAGAAGAAGCAGGATTCACGCAATAAAACAAAAATGCAACAAGGTATGTATTTAAAAAGAGGGCAATTTTATTTAGGGAAAAAATCTTTTTTACCCCACTAGTAAAGTGCACGTGCGATGCACATGGTAATGAATGTTTTTGGCCGATAAGATAAATTAATTAAATAATTAAACATATGATTGCAAGAATAAAATAAAATATAGAACAAATAAACTCATAAATAACATAATGATGTCGTAATATAAAAAAGTAACATGAAGATGTCGTAACATAATGATTGCAAAAATAACAAAATGATGTCGTAATATAAAAAAAAATTAAATGACATGTTACAAACTCAACAAAAATATATATAAAAAAAATGAGTCAATAAAAAAACAAAAAAGAAATAACTAAATAATGATCTAATGTATATTATAAATGCATGAGTATTTTTATCTATTTATAGTTTAGTAAAAAGTTTGATTTATTCAACACTTAATTAGAAATGCTTTAGCCGAACATATAGTCAAACCAGGGAAGGACGCAGACTCGCAAGAATGAGGGGGAACAAACATAACCTTTACAAAGTGGGAAAAAAAATGATATTTATTCTCTGCATGTTCTTATATATTATATCACTAATAATTAAACAAATTCAAATCTCATTAAATATATTTTTTTTTTCAAATACCAAATTTTTTTCTTTTCCACTGGATATTCTTACAACGTCAGCATTCACAGACTTTTTTATAATAAAGATAAATATTTATTACTTAAAAATCAATGAAAAACACAATTTAGTAGCTAATTTAAACTTATAATTATAATTTTAAGAACACCTAAATTCAATATGTATCAAAATCAATGTTGATTTTTGTGAAAAATCGATTTAACTCATTTATATATTTTGCCTAGAACATAGTATAAATACCAAATGCAAACAACTTAAATTTTAAAAAAACCTCTTGTAATTATTTTTCAATATAATTATATATGTTATAATTTTTTTTTTAAAAAAAAAATTATAGGGGCATGTGCCCCTACTGGCGCCTGCCTAGGTCGCCCCTGAGTCAAATTACATAATTGATCATTATAAGGTATTTCTACGAACATTTCATAAATATCTATGTGAAATAGTCATTGAAATTCTTGAACTTTTTTTAATCATTGTATAAACTACTACATTACTCTCTCTCTCTCTCTCTCTCTCTCTCTCTCTCTCTCTCTCTCTCTCTCTCTCTCTCTTTTTCTCTCCCCATATCGACAAATTGGTACATATCCTATGAGGTGGGAACTAATTTCATTTATAACAAAAAAAATGATCTTTCAAAATCATGTATTTCTCCGAAAAGACGCTAAACTATTTTTAATATCATCACACATTACATGAAAGTACATATTCTAAAGTAATTGCTCATATTATCGAGCACAATACACAATTAAGATTGTAAATGCTCAAATTAAAAAGTAACAACTTATTCAAACATTTAAAAATATTTTGATCAGAATCGAA